TCGGGGATGAAGTCAAGTTCAGCCCGGATGGGGCCTATTCTCATGGAAATTGGGTTCATCTCTTCACCTAACCTAACAATGGGAAGGGAGGGGGATGGGAGAATCTCCAAGTGATATTCGAGCCGAGTCACCATTCTTACGCCGCATGAAACTCGTACGGTCGTCCGACAGATTTTCGGAGACACCTCAGGGGTCTTTTCATATCACAGACATAATCCATCGTCCGCCTGGCACGAGAAAACAGCTGCCGGCGGGAAAGACCTCGGAAACCGTCCGATGCACAAGCTCGAGTCGGTTGAGAGGTAGGGGCCGCGGAAAGAATGGAAGAATCAGCTCGAGGATGTTTTCTGCATCCGAGTGAAGATTGTGTGCTTTTACCAGACCCGTCCCCTGCGGTGCCGACCAAGCGTCTAAACCGCAGCCAAGTCGGCCGCCGCCTGCCACTTTCAAGAGTGAGCTCGAGAGCATCCCGATCGTTGAGAGTGTCCAGGACTCCCAGTACCAGAGCAACGATTAACACTTCGAGCGAAACCCTGCGCATCCCGGATACCTCATCATTGGCATACGCCCGCCCGGCCAGATAATATCTCATGCGATCGCGAAGCGAGCTGAAGAAGAGCGCGGAGAATCGCTCACAACAGCTCGCTGAGGAGGCGTACCACTCTATTGATTTCGCTGGACGGACTGTGTGAACGGAAGCAGATCTAAGTCCCGTATAGACTGTAGCACGATTGCTCAAGCTTCGAACCTGCATCGACAAGATATGTATTTCAAGGGGCCGACCGACCTCAACTCATCCGAGGGAGACCACCACGGGGGAAGGGGTCGAGGGTCGGGGACTCAAAGGGAACGGTGACGTAATCTTCAGAAGGGATGAGGAAATTTCAAGGCCATCAGGGATCGATGGGAGCGTGTAGGGACTGCATCGGAATCAGAGAAGTTAGTCTTGGAAAATCGTCGGTGAAAAGCGCCGTCAGCGGTCTTTATGTATGCTCCTTGAAAGACTCCCAGGGCGGGCGCGGATCCTACCCATACACTCGCAGGATTGGCCGACAGCCAATTTTCGAGAATTTTCCCTCCTTATCTCGGTAGTCACGTGAAGATGGCCACCTCAGCTCTTCCTGACGAGGATAGAGAATAAGTCTTCAAATATGTCGGCTCGTCACAATCAAGGATGAAATTTCGAGAAGGACAACGGAGAGGAGGGCTCGCGTGGCCAAGCGAGCGGGAAGGATCTTCCTAAACGGGAGCTCGTAAGCATTATATTTGCTCAAGTGATCCACTGGCCTCTATCGCTCCCGCTCGTCGCCCGATCGGACGATGCTCCGTTCAAGCAAGTGTGTTTATCCAATTAGATCTCCCTCTCTGGTTCGACATTGTGTCCGGTTGATTGCGGATCGAGGGAACTAAACGATTCGCCGCTTCCTACCCTCGGTAGCTCCGTTTTTCGAAATATCCGTGCTGCGTCCAAGTCATCGGCTGATTTACTTAGAGCTCCGCCTCGAGATCATCGTGTACCCGTGTATGCACAGTTTCTGCGATATTTTTGAGAGTCGTGCTGATAACGCTCTCGGGTCCCGGAAACCCGGAAGTCTTGGACAAGTTCCGATGTACTTCCGTAGTTTCCGCCAGATGATTTAGCGGTTCGGGGATAGTCTGAGCCGGATCGGTCTATATTTAGCGCCGCCGGCACGAGTGGCTGAAGATAAGGGGGCAATATTCCTAATGCTACTCACGGCATCCTCTGAGTGAGTATCAGTGCTGGCGGTAGTGCTGGTCGTTGCTTGGTTATGCCCGGCTAGCTAGCTGCTGGGCTGCAACGTGGCTCGGAGCTTTCTGAACGGCTCGGATAACGATGGGACCCCACGCGAAGAGGTGCGGATTGCCTTCTGCGTTGGCGTCGAGTAAGCCCGCAAAGACCCCAAGACACGCAGAGACAATCGGTACAATCCTCTTGATTGTGTGTACAGGCAGGCCCTGAGACCCGAGTGAGCCGTAAACTTGATCGAGCATCTGCTCCGAGGAATGAATTGCCTAAAGGCGAAAATTCTATAGCGACGATCCCTCATACACAGCTGAGGAAGTTCGACGACACGAAATGGAGCTCCGGCAGTGCTGACGTGAAATCGGATTGAAGTTTTTGAAGCGCAACGCCCGATTCCCAAGCCGACAGGGAACTTAATGCGGAACTGGAAGGTCCGGTCTTGATCTCCAGGATGGAAGGATCGTACCGTCCGCGAGAGAGGGGAAAGCTTCGACCTGAATGATCCACGGAGGGGAGAGGCGATTGCGGACGATCGAACCCCCTGGCGGGTTTCGATTCCTCTTCACCTTCATCTCGAGAGAGGATTCAAGAAAAACGATTCCGGGGCCAGTGAAGTGCACGCAAAGTCGGAGCCAGATCCGTCAGAGCTGCCATGATGAGGGATGCGCAGTTCGGGGGAAAGCAGAAGCCTGTGTGACAGACCTCCGTCTGAAGGACAGACAAGAACAAGGCCACTGCCTGATTACCGGGACTGCATGCGTTGAGGAATGGGCGGAGACAATGGTCAACAGCGATCGAGTTCTCCTTCGGACTCTGCTCCCGTGGGTTCAGGGTCTCCCCGGAGAGAGGTCAACTTTGGAAATGATCTCTGATTCGCGGGAATGAGGGATAGCGCCCGAGTTCCGCAGTAATTCTCCGTTTGAGCGTCTTGCCTTCGTGATCATCCGAGCTTGGCCGGCCTGTGATGAGCACTGTGGAACCCATTTGGTAGAGTCGAACTGGCAAAGTTCTCTGCCATCCGCACCGAACTACAATCTTCGGGAGACCCGAGACGATAAGCCACGACGACAAGAATGGTTAATCAGAGCTTGGCTTCGCCGTCTCGGATTGCAATAAGCTCTGCCTACGTTTGTTCGCGATTGTTCGTGACTTCGGCGAATGAGGAGACTTGGGAAGCGCACTGCGCAGCGGCGTCCCGATTGATTCACCACAGTACATGGTTTCGGGCGATGGCGAAAGTAATGACGTGGGCGAGAGCAACCCAGAGAATGAGAGTGGAGGTAAATTGTGCGACGCTACGAGCTGGTGACGCCACGCTGTACTTATGGGCCTGGGATCCTTGATGGCTGTCAAAGGGATGGGGTCCCTCGTTCTACTTCTCCCTGGACATATTATAGTCACGCAGGGAGATCGGAAAGCGACGCGGGTGGCGCTGCCGTGGATCACCTGGAGAATCACCTAGCCGTAGAGAGCGATGACGACTCCTTTCCGCTTCCCGGCAAACCGAGTCTGGACACTCCTTGTCAAGGAGGGGGCGGCTTGCCCTCCTCGCGTTGTGTCTCCTTTATATTATATGTCCTCCTCCCGATAGAGATATCCTTGACAGCCCATCGTGGAAAGTTTTCAAGTCGCTTCCCCTCGACCCTCAGCGAAGGCTTCCTGCATGTTGTCAGAACTGCTTTCGTAACTCCTTCACTATTTCCGCAATTTAGCGTTCTCGCCTTCCACAATCAGTTCCTTTTCTCCACCCGTTTTCGAACCCACTTAGTCCTCGACTCCCTCGCTCTCCCGTTGTTTTCTCCCTCCTGGTAGTCGTCTCCCCGGATCCGTTTATTTGCTTCCGCCTCGCCTTCGACCATCTCTTCCTCCGATTGTTCGGGAGCGTATCCGTGAGGACCCTTTTGTTGTCAACTCCCCCAACCTCGGTTTTTACGCTCATTCTTATCTCGTCCCCCAGTTTTTTCCTACGCGTTCTCACGGCATCGTTCTCCAATGCCGATAGCGTTTCGTACCTCTCTGTTTGGGACCTTCGATCCGTCTTCACAAGGTTTCCTAAGAAACGTGTATGTTGTCTGTTCAGATAAGCCATTCGGGTGCGCCATAGAATCAGCGAGATGACGAATCGTCGATATTGTCGAGCTTCGTCTTCGTACCTGTGTTTATTCGTCACGTAAAGCCCGCTTGTTGCTGTACACGATGCCCCTCGATCCCCGCCTCACTCGATAGCGTCGCAGTCTACTTTCTGTTTTCGACATCTCTTGTGTTATTCTAGGGAGTGATATTGTTGTTGCTCCCGCTGGTCCACACCACCAACCGCGGTGGAATAGATGGAACAATACAACTGACAAACGGACGGACCGAGGAACAGGCGAGCAAACGAACGAGTCGAACAAACACAGAAAAACATTCTACTCACGCAACTGCCGGTGCGTCGGCGGTGAAATTTGACGCCGCCGCGCAGCCAGCTCCCCTGCTACGCTTTCTCCTTTCTATCCTGAGCTTTATTCGTCTCTTTCTTCAGCATGTCTCTCTACCTCCCTTCTCACCCCTTCCCCTCCCCCTCCCTGTCCGACATTTATTTTCGCCGATCGCCCCGTTCCTGCAGCATCGATCTCAGTGCATCTAAGGTTTTCGCTCGGTCCGTCCTCCCCTCACTCACCCCAGTCTCTTCCCCTCTCGTCCTCCGTGGAGAATCGACGGCTCTAGTCCCACCGCAAACACTCCGTTGCATAGCAATGATAGAGGCTCGATGTGTTGTTTTGATTCGCTTCTATTGAGTTACTCGATAAATAGCAGAAATAAGAGTACGGTCGCGTTCTCCTGCTTCCATCACCCCTTGGACCCAGGGACCGTCCCTCGGGCGGCCGGATGGACTGACCGACCGACCGATCCACTCAGGCTGCGGACACGAAACACAATTACGCGGCGAGAGATAGGCGCTCGGTAGCTTTGCGATGGTCCGTCGAGTCAGCAGCAAGGATCAGCGACGACGTTGACGATACACAGTATGTGATACAGGAAAATACGAATTAGTGGTTTCCCGCCAGGGGTCGCGGTGATCCTCGGTGGGAATCTCGTGATGTCTTTCCTCGAGGAGATGCTGGCACACTCGATGATCGAATGAGGAACGCCGGTCGTAGAAAACGAAAAAAACACACGGTCCTCTTGGAAACCCAGCGCTTCGTTTAGCTCGAGGTCCCTGACCTAGAGTTGGACAGCGGATAGTGATCCTCGATCAGGCGAGGGTCTGCAGCACTTCGACCAGAGGTGGGAGAAGAGTCTTGTATTTAGGGCTCTCGTGAGGTTTAAGTTTCGGCAGGCTACGACATTGCGTCGAGCCGTGACGCCATTTCCTGCAGACGCTGTGTAATAGATCTCCGGCGTATCCTTCGATGACAGTCTTCCCGTAATCCATGGCCCCCTTGCCGCACTCTGAGAGCGCGCTCACGACACAATCCTCATAATCCGAAACGAAACTGAAAAGGGAAAAACACTATCAGGCGACGCGCAAATACATGTACCTCAATATTTCTCGGAGGAGGAAAGGGAGAAATTCGCTAGGAAAGCTCCTCATGACTCCATTTGAGGATATCGCTTTCTCTCGGAGTCCGCAGGACTTCCTCGAAGCTCTCGTAATATGGCCCTAGAAACTCCGATTCGAAGAATACCGGAAGAATTCCGGCGCCGTCGCAGCCGGAATCACTAGGTATGGAAAAATCGGGAATCGGGAAGTCTCGACCGGGTCTGAGCGGCTCACGATCTGATTGCGGCGTCTGGAGTCGTAAGATATTCCGAATACTCGGCTACGAAATGTTCCATCGGAAAGAGTACTGACCAGCACGACTGCGGGATACGTTGTTTGATATCCGCATCCCGGGCAACTTCGAGTACTGCTGCGATGATCTTGTTACACTGATGCACCTTGCTTCCGACATTCAGGATGCAGGGGGCGTTTTCCAGGTACAGTCTATGTCGTTCGCTGGCTTCGTCACATTTGCCCTCGACTTCCGAAGCGGCTCCCTCTAAGAAAATCCTCACCATGCCCTGGCCCAAACCGGTCATGCACTTTTCGGCATAAGTTTTCGCGAACGCCAGCGACTTCATGGACGCGGGACATGCGGCCAAAAGTTCAGCCTTTGTCGGAGGCTCGTGCCCTGAGCCCGCGAAAAAATCAGGTCCTCGGCGGCTTCGTCCAGAGCCTGTATGTCGCACGAGTCTTCGGCGGCGTTTACGACCAACGGAGCTGCCAGGCCTGAGATTGCAGCGAGGATGATTATTTATTATTCAGATGCTCGTATCGAGCGTGATTATATCTCGAAAATTACGTCACGAAACATCACGCATAATGGGCTACGCAGAGGATGCCATAGATATCCCAGTGGGTTTGCTTCGTTTTCCCGAAAGCCAGAGAAAGTAGGGGAAATTGATATTTCTCCGGCTTTTCCACAAACAGGGAGTCACAGTTTTTTAACCTACCGCATATCGCTATCAGCATGAGCATGTCGAGCAACACAGCAGGAGCACGGTGGTGGATTTGCGTCGTATGCTAGTCAGTCCGTGCTCTTATAGTCTCGCGAGAACTTAATGATCGAGGAGACCTTGAACCTGGTTCGAACAGCAGAAGATCTTATCGGTGCTTATGAGCGAGCGAAGTTTGACTCCTCTACGGGCACGCAAAGAGCCTCGGCGGCGAACTTGACAGTCTGGCCATGCGGGTACTTTCCACAAACGGCGATCGCCCTCGCCGTTTTCATTTCCTTGAAAAGCCTCCCTTGCTCTCCTCTGAAATTCCTTCCTCACAAGCCAGCAAAAAGGGTCGGAAGCCCCTCGATTCCTCAGTCGGGAAAGCTGCCAATGGAAGCGGAATCGAAGGACAAGGTTTACTTAATACCGATAAATGATCCACCATGCAGGGCTGAGAGAGCTCCGGCAGTATCTCAAGCACAAACTCCGGGAGCGTGTTCTCCAGCGTTCCACACCGCTCATGAGTTTTCATGGCGTGCCGTTCCATCTCCGGCACGATGCGAACATTCTTTCCAATGGACGACAAAGTTCGATTAAGAAAAAGTAAAAAATCGTCTCGAGCTCGATGGAGTTTGAAGGCTACTCGCCTTCAACTCGATGAGTCCTCCGCTCACTCGCCGCGGGGCTTGATGGAGAGGTGGTATCGGGTCTTCCTCGCTTTGCCGCTTGTATTTAGCCCTCAGTAGGATCATGTCGCCAATCTCATCAGAAATATCAATTTCTCCTTCTTTCTCATCATGATATCACCAACCCCGGAAGCTTCCTTGTAGGAGATCACTCCCTGAACCTAGTTTCTGTTTTATTTGCGTAAATAATTCTCTGAAAAAATGAATCGAGGAAAATGAAAAAGACGCGATGGCGTATCATTAAATGCGAGACCATCTTTCATATAGCAAGGGGAGATGCTAAGCTTGTCGAAGATTTCAATCGTTTGACTGAAAACCTCTTCTCCACCCAATAGGGCAGGAGGTGTCTCGATGGCCAACTCGAGTGGAATCACAGCCTACTCGGTGCTAATTCGGCTTATGCTCCACTAATCGCCCACCGATCACTCCACCAGCTGCTCTGCCGAGCGGAAACACTTTCCTATCTGCATGAGTTCGTGATAGGTGTTCGCAGAAGGAGCTGCTGATCCGCCGCTTGCGTCGTTGGATCGGCCGAATTCTTCAGGAATCCTCCTCGCCATTGATTCTAGCTCATGAGCTGCGGTCTGAGCTGAGCCGGACGGGCTCCCTCTTCTCTCCTCGCTCTAGAGGAGGAAGCGACAATCGAGCGATAATTTCCTGGAAAGGGCGATCCCAGCGAGACGTCCAGCGCATTGTGGTCCGGCTGGCTCCTTCCTTCTGGTTATTGAGCTGAGGGATGCGCTCGTTCATTCTACGGATGTCACCTCCGGGCATCCAGCACATCCGAGCGGATTTACATCTGCTGCCAGAAGTCGAGTCGAGCCAAGTTAGCGGCGGTCGACCCATCGAGTGCGCTTCCTCGGGGTGATAGATTGAGCTGTCATCGCAGCCGGGGAACTTCCATCCTCTTCGCGGTGGTCTTCGATTCGCTGCCACAGTGGCCGAGGTTGCGAACCTCAGCCTAAGGGATGGACAGCCTCTGGAATGCGTGGGATGAATCCTAAGGAAATTCTGTTGAGTGTTTTGTGGTCTCCGTTCCCGGACTCTTCGCCTCCAGCGATCGGAGACGGTGGAAAAGTATGGGGAATCGCGTGATTTGGTTCAGGAGTGTTCTCTCGGGCAATTGATCTCACACTTGATCCGAATGAAGTCTCAGATGTGCGCAGCGCAGAACGAAATCAATGGGAGCTGGGAGGGCTTCCGCTTTGAGCCTTTCTCGCAAACCCCTCGCTTCCAACATTTTCTCCACGCGAGAAGTCTCACGTAGAGTCTTGATGACTTCCTTAAAGGATTCTCTCTGCCTTACCCAGTTTTCAACATCTCGGTTGTCAAGGGACCTTTCATGAGGTTGTGAGGGAGGGGAAGTCTCTTCTCCATCTTGGCTGGCTGTTACTCGCTGGGGTTCCTCTTTATCTCATCCCTCTCGTCCGTTTCTCAGAATCGATCTTCGGCTTGCATGTCCCCACCATTCTCAGGCATCGGAGATGCTATGCGCTGACTGAAGTTCCCCGATATTCGGAAGGTACACCAAATAAGGGATCGGGCTCACCTGAATATATTGTTCCACGAACTTCCGCCCACCATCAACGTGTTTGCGAACGCTTTTCTGAAGTAATGATGCGAGATGGTTTCCGATGAGATCGTTTCCCCGATTAGCCAGAAGCTTCGCCATGGCGAATGTCCGACTTTGTCTGAGCAGGTGAGCCATTCTACAAAGTTCAATCTGGCTCTTTTCCTCGTTCCTCATGATGAAATTTCGCTATCACGAGATAGTGTTCGCTGTCAGGAGATTTCACATTATACTAAGCACACTAAGCAGGTGGAAAGGAGGGGACAACAGACCCCAAGAGCTCACATACTGTGCATGTATACCGATGACACGGTGGAGAGGGGACCACGATCAGCATCCTGTGAGCCGAATCCATCTGTCCCGTCGGAGAACGACGCCCTTAGAGCGGGAGGGGATCGAGTCCCGATGGAATTCCGACAGCTGGAGTTTCGTGCAGAAAACAGAGCTCGAGTTTACTGGGTAGGTAAGCCGTATGAGACTCGACCGTGGCAGCAGTCTTTCGTACATTTGCGATTTTCGGTGAGGTGGAACTCAAGGTTCAGACCGCAGAATACTTGACACCAGCAGATGCGACGGTCACGCCGGATTCCGGCGTCGCTGTCGTGAGCTACGCGCTCCCTGAGCGCGGAGACACAAACGGCTGAGATTCTCTCTACTCCCTGACGTAGAGCAGCAATTCAAAGGGGGTAATCTCGTCCCGAGAGATGGCAGTCGATAAATGAGTGATCGACACTGGGCTGTCGCTTCTCAGACATCAGCCACTGAAGCAACGTCCCGAGATCGCTGCATATCTGCCGTGAAGGGAGAGGGGTCGAGCTGGAGGGTAGGCGATCTTTACGCGCTATAGATACATAGCTTGTTCGTAATTATCCCGCCGTGCTGCTCGATCACTGAGAGGACGATCCAGGTATCAGGACAAGTGTGACTCCCCGTCTTCGGAAACTCCCTTCCGCTGAAAATCCCGCCAGACGCTTCTGCTCAACCCATCGTTCCGGGAGCGGACGCCAGCGCCCTCATTGTATTCGGCGACGAAAACACGGTGGCAGAATATGGGACGAATCTGGCGACAAAGGAAATGACCCGAGACTAGAGCTTCATTGCCGTTGAAGGTTTCGTGTCTTCGCTCGGATATGGAAGAACGTGAGCCTTCCCATCCCAGGTTCGCTCTTTTCCCCGTGTCTTCCTTCTAATGCTTCGGAGAATGGTCGTGGTGAATTTATAGCATTTTTCTAATCCTGCGAGAGAAGACGACGCGACGCTGGCGGTTACCGCGTGCATTAGTTACCAGTGATGATCATTCTCCTCTCCCTTATGTTTTACGAAGCCGACCAGCCTGCCTTCTGTCCCGCCTTTGCTCAATATCGTGGTTCCCCGGTGCTCTCATTCCGGGAAATCTCTCGGAAGTATTCCTACCTAATTCAATTCGAGCTCAGCTAACGGAGCCCCTTCGTGGCGTGGGATATGCGAAAATTTTCCTCCTATTATGGAATAACAGAAGAAGCTCCTTCTGCTAGCTTCGTGTCCGAGTGTAATCTACATCTGTTCACGGATGGACGATCGCGTAATTCTCTTTGCTCACAGTCGGCTTCGCACGTGTAAGAAGCATCGCATCGGTTCCCTCTACGGCGGCCAGCGGTACGATTACCTCAGGGACGGAGGCGAGAAAAGTCTGACGGAGAGAAAATCGAGTAGGGTGCGGGGAAAACCGGGATCTGTCCGGCTGTGTTCTGCCCTCAGTCGGTTTCTGGGACCGACACGCTCCGCGGAGAGCGTGACGAAACAGTGTTCAAGACAATGCTCAGAAAAGTATTGCCGGACTCGGATGAGGTCGACCGAGCTCATCCGAATGCAGCTGCAAATGTGGCACAGCCGGATTATTCAGCGGTTCGCTGCTCGAAAATCTCCCCCTGTCCGACGCGAAGGCGGAAATCGTGATAGCCGACGCTGATCTGAGCATGGCGTCCGTTGGCCGGAGCACAAAATTATAACCGAATTAGACGGAGTTTTTTCTGAGCTCAACGGCGGAGGAGTTTTCCTCGATTTTAATCGCCAGAGGATGCTCATCCGCCCCTGAAGGGAGACGGAGAGCATCCATGGGAGCCAATGGCTGTGGGTAGATGAATCTTCCAAGTCGCAGACGGCCTAAACAAGTAGTCCCATCAAAAGCGCTACCTCTGCGATGCGGTTGCAACCGAACAGCTCATTATAATCTACTGGCAGGCTGTCATCGCATCCGCTGCAGACGTCTCGGCGGGAAGTTTGATGCTCTACATGAGCGCGCCACGTCCAGACATCATACCTTCATTTCTCCGGGTGCCACGGGAACGCTCAAGCGCGATCTATTCCCCGGGAAGCGGACAGTCTATCCGTCCAAGAGTGCATCAGAAGTTCCGCTTCGGGGCGAGCTCGGGAAGAATTTCCGAACTCACAGCCCACAATACGTACGGAACAAAAATTGGAGAGCATTCAGCTGATCAGATCTTCGCTCGACGAGAGCAGAACTCGTATGCTGTGTTCTGCGCTCGGAGAACCACATCGCTGCCGACTGCCTTTCGTCCACCAGGATGCCATGGATTCAATCTAAGTCGGGACGACGAATATGCTCGCAGACAACTGGAGCACCTTCGGAACCCAGCCTCCCACTGGTGTCGTCGGTTCTAAGTGATCGCGTAAAACGCTTGCAACGCGTCTATGTTGTATAGGCGAAGTTTTCGAGCAATCGACCCGGTCAGCATTGCTGTTCGAGAAGGTTCCCGTGGTACAGTGAGGCCAACTTGCGGACCAATAGCCTCGTTTCCCAGAGGGAGCCGGGATCCGACTCCGTTTCTGCGAGGCTGGATCGCGTTGCTGTGCAGCATCAGATCGCTCGCTCAATTGCCAATTCAGCAAATGGCAATCATCGGCCGACGCCGACTCTAGCTCCTGATCGCCCTCACTCAGGGAGTCTATTAGCTGAGCGATCGGACAAGTTCACCGTTCTCTCATACACCCGCTATCCGCAAGTTCCGCGAAGCTTGTCCAAACTATCAGATTCGTTCTTGACCTCAGCTTCCTGCCGGATTATGCGGTTTTGGCTGCTGTACGATGTGAAGCGTCGAGCCCGCCGCGCGGTGGATCTGACGGTACAGGGAGGATTGAAGGTCCCGCGGGGTAGGGATTTCATGGAGAAATCGGAACACCGTGGGTAGGAATAAGACGGGTGAGAGTTTATTCCGGATGCCCCATGAGCGTCAATAGAACAGAACGGGTCCCAGGAGCGAGTTCTTCCTTCGGAACTCAGCAGGAGGGAATTCGGCGGAAAATAACCGAGCCAAGGATGTTACGTGATCTGTGATCCGAACGAGGACGGCTAACGTACTTGCTTGCGGTCTTCCGTCGGAGTGCATTGACTTGCCAGGAGAGGAAGTCATTGCGATTCTCGAGATAGACCAACGGCTCGCAGGATGGATGAACGATGGAACTTGATGCTTTTATGCATAGAGAACGCGTATTTGCGACGTGAACAGAAGCACCGTCTACAATGACCAAGTACACTGAAAATGAGGAAGGTAATCGCCAACCCGAGAGAGTCCGCTTTCACCTTCCTGTTTTTCTCCTTTCAGCCTATGCGATGCCTGATCATTTATGGATATATACAGATGATAAACCCGGACCGATACCAAGCCGTCAAGCTCTACCGAGAAGATGACACTGGCGCCGTGGGTAAGTCGTTTTCTATATAATTGGCTTCTCTAGCAATGTAGCAGGGGAATGTGGTCGAATACCAGGTGTACCAGGGTATCGATAATTATAATTATAATTATCGAACTAATCGAATAATACAGCCATCCTGGCACGTCCTGCGGGGGAATCCACGAAGCTTTCGGCTCGGCGGCGCGGAAGCTGTTGTTTGTTCCCGGCCTCTGAGGCGGCGAATTTCAGGAGCACTACGTGTTTCCGACTACTCGTAGATCAGTGAGGGCAGACCTTCTCCCTCACACGGGCTGAGGAGCTTGGAGAAGACGAAGCCTGTGGATCGTTGAGCCTAAGATGTTCGACGAGAAATTCGAGGACAAAGGATCTTCCGAGAACATGAACAGAATAATGCCGGAGCTCGCGCTCAACGCGCAGTATGGTGGCCTCCAACAGCATTGTGCGAACCTTGCGTTGCTCCTGCGTCTGGGAGCGCCATATCACTGGCCGTTCACGAGCGGGAGAATTGTTGCATTGTACCCGATATGAGGAGTTGAACGCCGCAATGTTGGTCGGGTTCATCTGAGGAAGGCCCTTCGCGTTATTTTTCTATTCCTTCTTGAATTGATGTCTCGAGTCTACCGACTCGGATATACGGGCGAGCGGCTGTCCAATTCAGGCGGAGGCTAGCCTCCACAAAAGTTAATTATCCCAGTACGATGACAGCTCCTGCATTTATTTCATCATCACTGGTTCTCTTTCTATCTGGATTTCCTCGGCGATCCTGCTCGCGACCGCATTCACTTCAATCATAGAAATCTGACCGCGGACCGGATTGGATCGCCTCGCGGGCCGGATTTCGCCCCAAGGTCGCCTCCTGAACACCCCGTGCAGATCACTGCGCTGCCGCTAGGATTCGGAAAGTATTGCTATTTCAACTTGATGGGCTCGAGTGATGACCTTGAGGAGTTCCTTAGAATCAGAGCGCCTCACGGAGATATATGCGCCCCAATGGAGATGAAATTTCTTCCTGATAAGCAGTGACGGTTTAGCGGGGCTTCGACAGCCCCTGATAAGCTGTCCGCGTGACTCGTGTATGACGTCATATTTGAGGTACGTCGGAATGAAGTAGGAATGAAGGATTCTTCGCTGATCCCTCCGCGCGGGGCAGCAGTCACGAATCACCAGGAGTCGACCGGAGCTCTATCCGGGAACAAAGTACCCCATCCTGAGTAATTCGCCCACCGGATCACTCTAATCGTCATTCGGAGTGATCTTTCCGACTCCTGGATTTGGCCATTCAGCTGCTCAATACGATTGATCCGGAGAGCTCCGTAATGATTCATGGCGAGCACAAGCTGAGACTTGGCACGAACATGTTCGGCTACCTACCATCGGGGTACGCCGTCGAGTACGATGACACTTCCGCAACTCGGAAGTTATCGGCCCCCCGTAGAACTGTGCTTCCTCTCTTACGTGTATTTGACTGCAACACTCCAGAATCAGGAGCAACTGCACGCGGCGACAATTTGCAGGCAGAGGAGGTCGAACTTCTGGCCGTGGCCGATTGAATTTCTCTCGGAAGGCCACCGTGGGGAATCTTGGGAAGGTGTTTGCTGGTTGAGAAAAAACGAACACGCTAGCTTCTCGTTTCGAAATCCGAAAAAAAAACTTATCTGATCGCAGGATCCTGTATCCATTTTTCGGTCCGAAATAAAGCTGCCACGCTCCAAAAAGCAATGATTGTTTTGCGAGCTGGAGTCTCGTACATGTCGGAAACAAAAGTATTTGACTCGATCGCTATTACCGCCGAATCCATTCCGTCCCAGGAGCCGCAGCGATAAAACAGACGTTACCCGGAAATTCCTTGTTCCAATATGTCGACACCATCGAGCGCCGATTTCAGCTCCAGAACAAATCTGCAAAGTGAGCGCCAGGAGTCGGGCACGTGTGTTGCCACCATCGGCGATATTTCGTGGAGTCGGTCTCTCGACCGACGTCATTGGGAGGATTCTCGGACCGACCGATGGAGCGGTCGAGTGTTCCGCTCGTGTATGATGGCTGTTCGGGAAAGAAACGTGCGTCCCACTTTGTGAAAATTCGCTCTTTCCCGCTGCTTCTTGGTTTGTAGTGGTGAGATCCGAGATGAGAATTCCTGCTCAGATTCTCTCTGGAAAGATGAATCGAAGGGACACTCGGTTTCACCCTCAGAGCTCCTCCGTCGGAATGCCTGAGGTAGTGGATATTCCGTTGCAGGAAGCACTTCAATCTCTGCCGGCAAGCGGTCGCCTCTGGAGTCTCCTATCAAGAGCGCAATCATTGACCCGCGCATCGACCGCCTCGCATTCGAACACGCTGCGGAAATTTCTTTCAAACGTGCGGAATGGGGCTTCAATCCGTTCGCGGTGCATACTCAACATATTCATCGTATGTTGTCCTCTTCCCAGATGGGGGATGCTCATGGCTCGAGGAATTCGCTCCCGCTATGCATGTCGATGCCGAGAATACGATCGGAAGTCTGGATTCTTTTCCTCTGGTGAAAAGGCAAACGATTTGGGGGGATTCTCTCAAGTTAGAGGTCGCTTCGGTGAAAGTTCGACTTCCGCGGCGAAGCAGCGTCGGACGGCATGACGAACCGCCCTGCCTCGCGCTGGTCTGTCCGTTTCCGGCGGGAAATTCCGCTCGGAACTTCCGCAAGGAACTACCGGCGGAGATTCGCGTGAAGAAGGTATAGCTCCACTTTCACACTTCCCCTTCGACCAGTCTGTTTCCTCACCCGTTGTCGGCCAAAGCCGAAGACTCGCGCTTCTTTTGGAATATGATGCTCATGCGAGCGCGGTGAACAAGTCGGTCACGTCTTGGAAGATCGGAATGTCTCTCTCTACCTGGGTGACTGATTTACAAAGCTTAGACTCGGATCCTGACGCATAGAATCAGGCCCCAAATCGGCCTTTCCCTGGTACAGTTGGGGTCGAAGCTCCGCGACAGCGACGCGGGCTGGAACTAGCTCAACGGACCGTGGTCTGAGAATCATTATCTCATCCCAGAGACGCGGTCGGAGCGACAAATCAGGTCTCCGTGGACTGGGTTCTAGCCTCGATCCATTGCCGGGAGAGCGTGGACTGCATAGGGGCGAATTTCGAGTCCAACTCACGAACTTCCGATAGAACGTGACCCGAAGTTTGAAACAGCAAAGGTCCTCGACTAACGGCTCCTGGAGTGTTTTCTATGCGGTATCCGAGCCGATTTCCTCACGTCATGTATGCGATTGGATCTCTGAATATCCCGGAGCGTAATAATTATCCGGTTTCCTGCGATCAGGGTTCAAACGCAGTCATTCCCTCCATTTTCGTGACTCCAAGACATGATTCTCGACTGTTTCTGAGCCTTCCGGTCGTACTTGGCTTTCATGGAGAAGGTGTATGATGAAGGACAACGCAGCTCCCAAGACACGTCAGACGTTAAAGTCGAGCTTTCACCTTTGATGGACGACTCGGAGGGATCCTCTCCAGAGTTGGCGGATTCCAGGAGCCTTTGAGCTCTGATGTGCGAAGCCGAACCCCCTCTCTGACGGTCAAACGTCGAATCATTCCTCATACCCACGGAGCATTCCATGGCGCCCTGCGGTAAACCCGCCATGAGCTCAAGGAAGGGTCGGGACACCTAGGCATCCACCATGTCCGTGACGTGGATATCGACGTGTCACGACGTTATTGATATTAGTGACCGTTCATCAAGTCGATGGACCTCCGTGCCCAAGGCGGGATGGTTTTCCGAGGCTATTTCTCTCAGAGTTAGGGGTATCAGTTCTGAAGTTTTGCAAATCCATCCCCCGAGGTTGGCTCAGCTCGAGCGAACCAGGTTCAGGCACAGCTCATTCTTCCAGGGAACGGGGAGAGGAAAACGAGCAGTCAAAGAGCTCAGTTTAGTTCTCTCACTGCCTTCAGAATGAGTCGGAAGGATCTTCCCGAATTTGTTCAAGAGACATCCCTGGGCTCAAGGAGAATCATCATTTGCATGAGCTCCCTGTACGTTTTGGCTATCTGACATTGATAGAACGTCTCGGGTTGACTTCTTCTCCCGAGCGGAGGCCAACACGAGGAACCGCTCCGCAATTGTCTCGCGCGAAATTCGCAAATTCGCATCGCATGAAGTAGTGCGAGGAAGCAGAACTGTCCCAGAATGTGATAGGAGGAGATATCCCGTGGGATGCCTCTGCCCTCCGAGGGGAACTTCGGTCCATGATCCAAATGTCGCCGAAAATTGAAGGAATCGGCAGTATTCAATGCTTCATGATGTTCTAGGACAGAATTTACGACGCGACGCGCCGACCTCAGCTCGTTCGGCGGAGCACATTCGAATGACCCGCCTTGTGGTCGGACTCAGAATATCCAATTCTTGGTCGAGATCACCATTGGCGCCCCTTGCGAAGGCATTCAAAACGATTTAGCCCCGACGCTTGTTTCTGGGGGTTTTCTTGAAGTTTTTTTTCGCACCACAGACTCGCGCAGCGCCATCGGCGATTCCGTAAGCGTGGGAATATCCGGAATAGACGGGCGGTCGAACGTTCTCGATCTCGCCCAGGTTTTTGCGGGAGGAGATCGGTCAGCGCTGACCTGATTAAAAGTTGCGCGAGACTCTCTTATGGAAATTGTTCCCGAAGACGCACCCCGCCTCCCTGCTATGCGTGCTCCTCCACGCTGCCTACGATGTCTACTCGCGCTCGTTTGCAGATGAGGTCCGCTATCCGGAGCGGACCCTCGTTGAGCCGGGGCTCGATAGCGGACCACAAGCAGCGACCGAGGAGTAAGCAGTGGAAAGAGCAACATGCAGCAAGGGACGCGGAAATGATTCGCGAAGATAAGGAACTACAAACTCAAGCCGGCATCAGGCTTCGGCCTCATATGCATATCAAATGATCGTGCCAGAGGATTGCCGCGTTCGTCTCGACAAATGGAGTTGAACACGCCGCCGCCGCGAGCAATCTCTCTTGGGATGCGTCCATCTGTTTGTCCCACGGCCGCCGCTGTTGTTGTTCCGCTGGCGTGGCTTCTTCATCACGAGAGAACCTCGCTCCCGCTACCAGAGATCATGTGCTTCGAAAAAGTGACGCGACGGTCCCTATCCTGCCGGTAGGATAGAGCTCTCCTATCTCGCTCGACCTTCCTTGCGCGTCTCGACTAGTTATCCCTGCGGTCGCAGACGTTCCCGTTTTGTTCCACGCGACCAGTGGCGGATTCAGAGGGGGGCAGTTGGCCCCCACCAAGACAATGGCTCTGCCCCCCCTCCCCCTGCTGAGAAAAAATTCTGGATCCGCCACTGCACGCGACGATGGGGAGATATCTTGCCATCGGTTGGGAATCCTCGCCCCGCTTTGGCGCTCAATGGAATCATCTCATCTTCTCGGGTTTTTAAACATAGCTCAGAACAACCCGTCAAAGGAAGCCGGAGTTGCGAGAGAAGCGCAAGTATCCTAGGCGCGAGATCAAAGTGCCATATCGCGCTGTTTCTTTCCCCCGAATTCTTTCCAAGTTCTGCCTATTCCTGGACCGCTTGAAGAACTTTGTTGGTTCAGTCGAAAGGAAAACATGCGGAACGCGTTCGGAGACGGAAGCCAATTGATCTGACGATCGTGTCGGTTCTACACCGTGTCGCAAAGCAGAACCTTCGGGGTGCTATTGATGCCGAGCAAAGAGGAGCGAAACTCCTCGGGTGTTCCAGCCGGCGGCAACGCGCAGCACGAATAGCACAGCTACCAACTGGAATTCTGCCCTCCCCCCCCCCTTCCCCGCTGAGAGAGAGATGCTCCAAGCAGACGGAAATGCGAGCGTTGAACCTACCTACATTATGCGGACGATCAGATTAATCGCAGCCGACTCTCCCGGTCAGTGACACTGACCGGTACGAAATCGGTGGAAGTTTCCGATTGAGTGAATGACGACCTGAAGATTGACGCAAGTTCTATTCCGTTTCAGATGTTCAAAAAGTCGCCTACTCCATCATCATTCAAAATTGCCTGGACATTATTCTATCACTCGTTCTGTTCTACGGCGTAAAGAATGTAAGAGTTTCTGTGTAATCACAAAATTTCCGATAGATTAGTCCCACTCCGCTTCCCAGTGTCCCTGAAATATGTGCATCTAACACTCCTCCTTCGGGAGATGAGAGCCAGCAGCCGTATTTCCCGTACATAAGACTACGAATGATTCGATAAAACCTGGCGGAGTCATGCGCGCGACCAGCACCGCAGAACGAGCTGGAGCGAAGCGGCCAATCCAACGGCACGCGTCTCCGGCTGACGGACCGGATCCGGCGGTCATTGAATTGTATTTGTGGGTTCTTCCATCCTCGCAAATAAATGAAGATAAATCGACCCATCGAGGGCTTTTAAACCGCATCTGTTCGGATGCTCCAGAACTACAAACGGGCTGCCAGGAACGCTGGCTGCCTGAATTCTCTCGATATATTCGCGCGAAAACTCGTAGCAGAGTCAGGGGGGTAATGGTGTTGGGTTAGAATTTATTAAAGGTAATCCTTCTTCCATCTGACTCTTCGTCGTCTCTCATTGGTTCGGAAACCTGCACGGCGAACTCGTTGAGCAGCAGGCTTAGGATGAAACAATTCAGTCGAGCTCGCTATCGATTGCTTTTTGCTGCATCTGTGATCCCCTAGACGAGCGTCAATTGGAGCCTAACCGGGCTGAGTCTTCGTATTGCACCAGTCGCCACTGTTAGAATCCAGCTGTGTTGGCGAATCTCCAAGCGTGGAGAGGACATCGGGGAGAAGCAAGTTCCGAAAGATAGCCGGCGAGCTTGTTGGTTCTGATCGTGACGACCTCATCCCCCAAGCTGACGGGACTGGGAACCGACCGTCTCTTATGCGGGGGGACGTTGTCCCATCGTTAGTCTCAATTCGGAGATCTGCGCATACGGGATCATTCGTCCATTCATCTCGGGTCGAGCTGGATTCGGGATTTGAAAATGATCGAGGCTGCCTCCAGTGACTTGCGACTTCAAAGCTCAAGCCCAAGCTGCTCGAAGAAACGCGACGTTCACGGAGCCTTGAGTCTGCGCGACTTATCACAGAATCCGTCCAGGTCGTGAGCAAAATATTTGCCTCGGGGGTCAGACTCATTAAAAGGATCTGAGTGAATGGATCTCCGATCTGAAAGAATTTCAATGCGATCGTCGGGGCGGGAAGTCACAACTCATAAGGAATAATCGCGTTCTGTCTATTTTAGGATCGCTCAACGCTGGTCCTGCTCTGGCTCTACTGGCAATTCATCAATACGCTCTTCACTTCTGTCATTGCTTCTATGCAAGTGATCGCTGCAGTTTTCGCTTCCTCAACCTACGCACTAGTTGGTGTCATGGCCTCATGGACGACAGTATTTCTGATGGTAGGTGACCAGGATCCTCCTCCGGGAAGCCGAGAGGGATCTTCCGCGTCGATGGAATATCAATATCCGATCGACATCCAGCTTGATGGATATTTCGAGCGGTGGAAAAAATATCATGAGCTCTCAGCTTGTCTTCTACGCTGCTTTCTGGATGTGCTGCATCGTCCCGCGAACGGTTGCGTAGCCAGGACTCGGGTTGATGCAGCGAGTGACCTTAAATTATTTGTATCTATCCGTTTTCGTGTTGTCTGGCTCTAAGCTGCTTCCTTTCGAGTGGTTTTGGGTTTTGTTCATTGCTCTTGTATCAAATAGAAAACGACCCATTTGCCTCCGACCTTGGAGGGGTTCGAGCGGACCCAGTCGAGTGTGTTATGACGACAACCGACTGGTCGGTTTCAGGCTGTTCGTTTATTCACGGAGGTCCGTTGGAGAGGAACAAGAAGGCAAAGAAACGAGCTCTTCCAGAGCCATTGTTTGGACATGTGCTCTGCTGTTTGCAGACGCATGGAGAGCTTTGACATAAGTTAGTTACCTTCTTGCCCGCGGGGGCCTGAACTGGCATTTGTCGTCTGGCGAATACGGAACCGAGACAAAGACGTCCCGCTCAGGATGGGACCGCTCAGCCTTGCCTGAGTGGCGCGATCGTCAAAGAGCGCGGCGAAAATTCCGCTGGCAGATTTCTTTGTTCTTCGAACGTCGAGCCGATCCCATGAGCTGACGAGTAATGAGGTCGGGCCCAGGGGAACTAATTGGAAGCGTACATGCCCGAATTGGACATGACGAGACTAACCGAGACCTTTTCAGATATACTGCATGAAGTGCGTGGGCGCCTATTACTATGAGCTCACGCTATCCGAATGCGACGGAGGCAACGCGGAAACGACCGCGAGTCTCATGGAGGACGCGTGGAAGAATCAACAGCAGCAGCTTAGCCCTCACCTGGCGCATGCCTCCAATGCATGCTCCGCGCTCGCGCAACGTATGCATTGCGTCGTGCCCACCGAGGACCAGCCCTCTTGCTCGAGGATGGCGTCCGCCTGCAATTGCACTTGCGCGGCGGCTGCGCTCGCGATGACTCCGCCGCCACATGCGCCCAGTCGGACGTCGATTTCAGTGCAAACAGAAATCGACGATGATCAGATCGCCGTCGCCAACGTCTGAAAGCGTGCGCTCATAGCTCACTCCCTGCCCCTTCTCAAAGTGTCTGACCTGCCTGGAAGCACCCGATGAACGTCACAGGGACCACGCGTGAAGACGCAGACTGACGTCACGATCCCTAGGATTCATCCAAATCTGCTCGGTCCACAATCTCGATAGATCCACAATCTGTCACCGGTGGATTCCGGGAGCCTCGATCATGAGGAGTCCAACGCAAAGCGCGGAAACTATGTCGAAAATCTTGCTGATAACGTGTTGAAGATAATCGGAAGGGTACAACTTTCGTTCGGAAGAGTGAACCGTTATTAGCGATTCCCGAAAACAGTTCGTGCGCATCCCGTTCATCCACCGCTCATCCGTACAGCTCTTCTGGACTCGTCGTTCCCGTCATGGCGCGCTCTCTGCCCCGACCTCGCTCGGATCCATTGAATCTACCTCCTGAAGATGTTACTGCCCGCCGTAGACGACTGCCGTGTCTGTTCGACGAATGAGCAGGGAGTAAACATCCACAGAAGTGATAGCGTCGTGTTCGATTTCCCACAAGTCGCGGGGAAACACTCTCCGCCAGATCTGGAGAGAGCCTGTGAATTGTTCCATGATGCATGAGGTATATAAGCTCAGTCTCGTGTACAGTAAGTCTAGCTCCTGGTAGAGAGAGTCCCACTCTGCTTGATCGAATTGATCAGCAATGTACAGCCTCGTTAAGAATCCATGAGCGTTCCCCGACGGAGCGTTCCTTCCATTTGGTACCGTTTGGCAACCCAAACATTCGACGAGACTACAGCGAGAGAATGCGCATCAAAGGAAGCGAGTGTGGGAAGCGCTTCAGGAAACTCATCAGAATCTGTTTCGATGCGTCAATGAAATGAATATTGTATTCTCCCTTCTGGTGATATGAAACCCCACGATATACATACAAATGTATGTTCGCAACTATTGGATCATTCGAGCATCACTGGTGAACCCTCTCGAGAATCCGACCACTCCATAGTTTCTACCCTGCTACGCGTCCCGAACCGATTTCCATGTTATTATCGATGCGTCCTACTCTGGCATTGCAATCCGGACCCACTCAACACGAAATTGTGATGCTTCGGATCAAGGTCATCCCCGCGGGACATTCGATCGATGCATTGGGCCCGAAGGCTCAGACGAATTGAACGTGCCAGATGCGGAAAATGTATCCGACCTGCTCGCTTTGAGCTCCCATCAACCCAGCTTACGTCTCGGCTCCGAGGATGAGATCGTCTGTCTCCTTCCGCGTCCGCCTCCCAGCCTGCCTGCCTGCGTACCTGCTGGCCCGCATGCGTGCATGCATGAATAATGTCCCGATTCGTCGATGTAGATTTATGACCTGCTATTCCGAGGGAAACCTCTGCAAATAAATGAGGAAGAATGGTTGGAGATGCTGAATGGTTTAACCATTCGACTGACAGGAACTGTGTTTGGCCTTCACACTGTACAGCCGCGGGATGCTCGGCGAGCCTCCGCAAACATTGAACTCCGGCTGTCAAGCTTGAGAATTGCGGCAACGAGTCAATGCGCCGATTCGCTGACATGATATCAGGATCGCGAGAGAACTCGCTATGCATCCCCTCCCTGCAGAAAGTCGACAATTTCGCAGGAAACAGAGGGCATGGAGAAAGAACGAGCGGTGACCGTCGACAAGCCAATCATGTGCTAGCGTGAGGTCTCGGGAATTCCGCGGCTCCCCTGATCGCCAGAATTGACGACGGCTGACGGGGTGGGTTTCCGTGCCAGGAAGCTTGGTGCGAGAAGGAAGGGTTAAAGGGAGGATTCTTTGATGAATATCGAAACGCCGCGCCGACCCTAGGCGTGCGGAATTTTCGGAACCTGAGTTGGTCTTCGTCACTGTCTCAATTGTCTGTGTCCTCAGTTCCTTTCCGGCAAAATCATGCTACATTGGTGACCCATTCCAATATGTTCTATAGAATGTTAGAATGGGGTTTTTTCATCTATTCCAGATGAGTGTTCGAAGTCAAGATAATTGTCTCTGATTGGTTGCCTTCATTGCCCCCTGATTTTCCGAAGATTGGAAGCTGCAGAAGGGCCCAAGCCGAAAAATCTGTAAATAAGATCATGAACGATATCACTGTCGCGATGAAACCCGGGATAAAGTTCCTTTCTTCAAAGTGATTGTCCCCTGGTCTTGAAACGGATACGTGGTGACCAGGAATAGATTTAGGGAGTTTTTCTAGTTCTGGCGGTCATTGGTATTACAGAGAAGAAATGAATGGGGAGATCTCAGGTTTACCAGTTGTACGGGTTCTGGGGAGTCAGCGAAATATATATGTACCAGTCTCTCCGGGAGACAGGCGGAGGAACAGACCTCCTCAAGCCACTTTGAGGTCAGTCGGAACGCGGTTCACCTTCTGAGAGAGAGGTTCCCTTTGATTGTTCGCTTACGTGAGATTGAATGAATTCTGGCTGGTTGTGAGAGAAATTGCGTACAACTGTTTCTCTTCTACGTTAGGCTCGTCATGAGGACCTGGACCTTGCTGCTGTGATGTTCAAAGTTTTCCCTGCACGACCCCCGCACACCTCGGCATGGGGGCTGTCGGCTACGGGAAATACGAAGAGAACCAAAACTCACCCATTCGGGTATACATAAGCTAGTTCTATAAGATCGCGGTATTCAGTATTGTAAAGGAGGGAGCTCTCCCGTCCAACTAAACTGTGCGCATCAAGAGAATCCGTTGAGTGTGGTGGATTCTTTGCAACACTCTCACAGTTCGCGAGAGTGAATCGCAGCACCTCCGAGGGAAGTGAGGGAGGGAGTTCTGTGCTTGATGCGTCGAGTGTCAAGAAGGACATCGCTCTGAAAACGTATTCCGAACTCTCTTCCTGCGGCGCATTTTCTGTGGAGTGTGGACAGATGCCCGTGATTCGACAAGATATCTTAGCGGCTTCGAGTAAAGCGCGAATCTCGAACGAGCGCTCCGAATACAACCTGCAGCGGTGCCGTCGGGGAGCGTGATTTCGCAGAAGAGGATCCCGCTCGTATCGAAGCTCTTGAAAAACTCAGAGGGAATTCCACGGCTCCTAGGAATTCCCGTTATTCCCGACGGAATTTTCGAACGGACCCATGATCGGACTCTCTCGGTTCGGAGCCCCCCTCAAGGAGCTGTCCTTCCGGTCTCGTACGGATTCCCCTCGGGAACAAGGCCGATGGATTGAGAGGTCCTTCTGAGTTAATCACTGTGTCCCCATCTTCCGAGAAGACGGCGCTGTTGGTGTCGTGTCATTTGTAGGACGGTGTCAGCGCACCTCAATTAATTCAGTAGCTGCAGCTCGGGATGAGAAAACAGAGTTCTCAATTTGGCGGGCGGGCAGGCGACAAAGAAACAGCGGCTCCTCATGTCCAGAGGAAGATGTCACATCGCCTGCGGCATCGCGATCGACGCTCTCCATCGAACAAACGAACAAGGCTCACAAGCCTGCACCGTCGGCATTCGGAAACCAACCAGAGAATCTCATGGAGGATAGAACGGAATCGGTGTCTAAACCTTGTTGCTCAAGTATCCCGGGTAGTCTTCGTGGAAAGCGCAAGGGGATTTCAATCCCTCTGCTTGCTGGCGATTCCATCGCGAACAGAATCGTTCCGGAACAGTGCGAAAACTCTCGACTCCGGTCACGATTCGTGGCGGAGGTCGCGTCCGTCTCATGAAGGAGGAGATAATGATTCGAATCCGTTTTCGGCGTTATCCCCGCCCCTCCTAACGAGCGGAGGAATCGACAGGAGAAACAGCAGCATGGCGATCATACAGCGCCCTAATGATGTTCAAATTTTCGAGAACCCAGCGACGCCATATGCTCGTGGATATTGCACCGTTCCCAACATCATCACGCGAACCGAGCACGGAAGGATTCCGCCTATGCCCCTATCCGTACACGGAATCGGGAATTCATCCGACAAGTTTGCTGTGGACGGGTGCCGTGCTCTTGGTTGCCTTGCTTCCTCTAAATTACAGCCGACACGCTCGTTCGGGTTCGAACGCCTCCTAAGCTCTTGAATATGAGGGTCTTGTTTTTACGGAGCCTGAGTGAAAGGCTCAAATCGCTCGGATCCCTGCGGGAAACTTCAAACTCTACCCGAACCGTTCCCGGAACTCCAAACTCCAGCGAAAAACATCGATTGCGAAATCTACATCTGGTCCTGCGGAGACCGACGGCGTAAAGAGCCTCTCCTCGTGAGTGCGCCCGGCTTCAGCTCTCTGAGAACTTCCCGCTAATCCTCGCTCATCCTTCAGGAGTCTGCTTGCTGAAGAAGAGTTCCGGCCGCTCCGACTGCCGAAATCTGGGCCGGCTCGACGGCGAGCGGATACGTTTGAATGATCCCCGGCATTATTTCTGATCCGATGCTCCAACGCGTCTTCTCAGACTGGGTGGCTAACGACCAGAGCCTTATTCGGGCCTGAAATCTGTTCGCGGAAGTGTTCGCCCTTTCCCGGGGAATCCGTCTGCAGAGCCTGATCGTACATTGATTATGATAGCTCAATGGAACGGGAGCCTCACGATACTCCTAAGTGTGCAGGTCAGAACTCGGAGCTGGAAATCACTCCGCGATCAGCAGACGTTATGCGCTAACAGTTACTTGATATAATCCGCATCATTCGAGCCCCACGGCAAGTTTCCAACGTTGGGAGACTCAATGCCCCAATCGAAATTTGAGCCTGGTTCGGAGTCTCCGTCCGTATTTCCTGGATCGAAGACTCCGAAGACTTGGCTGAAACGGGAAACAGGGGGACTCCCTCTCGAGGATTTCCATTATCTTCCATTCGCGAGCGTGGACAAAATGATAGTTTCCGTGGAGCCGAGCGCTGCTTCGATCTGTGACAAGCAACAGACACCGTCTCTCTCTGTCGCATGTTTGAATGGATACCTTGGTGACGTGGTGAGAACACGGTTGTTCCCGTGATTGGCTGGACGGAGGGAGTTTAGTTATTTTTCTACCATCCTTAGATAAGATAGCGGACAGCAGTGCACGCTTAGGCTAGAACTGCGCGTTAAAATTCACTTTTGGTGCTGATTGTACAGTGAACGGGTTCGACGTCCCAGGTTGTCGACCGAGCTCGTCGTGGGATCATGGTGCGACTGATGAGTGAGGAGAGAAGCGTTTTCTACAGAGTCATAACGCCGTAATGAACAAATGCAGGATAGCAAACGAATTATCAATAACGGAAGAAGAAAAAAGAACCAAGGCATGAGTGAGAATATATGCGACTGCGAGTCTGTTCATCGAGCGCAGGAACACGACAAAGAAACTGCTGGGACGTCCCGTTCTTCTTGAAGGGTTCACGAATTTTCTCTTCCATCGGGTGAATGCCGACGTAAGTTAGCGATGTATATGACGCGTTGGACTGCAAACCGCGCTAAGTCCATTTTTCCGGAAGGCTGAGATTCGACACTGTAGAATCTCAGAAGATGTTCTGCTAAGATGCGGATGTGAGGGAGTTGTGGGCTCAGAATAAGCTTTTATTCGAAAATATAAAATAAAAATAAAAGACAGAAGTATGTGGAATGTGGACAAGAGAGGCAGAACTTAACGGAGAAGTTGCAGATCTTGGAGCCCACGGCATGCGTACAAGCAATGTGCGGATTCGTTCTCGCCCGTCATGCCGTGCTCGTTCCTTTTGGTTCTTGACCATGATTCGCTGTTCCATGATCGCTTCCGTCTGTAAGTTCGGGTTGACAGACGCTCGTTTTGGCACGTCAAAATTCATCGTTCACGTCCACGATACGCGCGCGACGATCACACGGCGAATCTCAATGTACGGTGTTCGGAATTTTGAATTGACTGTTTAAGTTTCACGTCGAGATTCGAATATTCGAATCTCGTTTGCCGCCGCTGATCTTTCCAACGGCTACCCGCCAATGGAGAATCAGTATCTAATGCAATATCAGCGCAGCGACGGCAGGGGGAGAACCGCGGGAGCTATCACTCCCTCTCGAATCCCGAGTCCAACCTGGGACCTCGGCTCCCCATTGAGAACCTTAGTTTCGCCTTAAGGAATTTTCGGCCGACCTCAGGTATTGAACCTGAGGCCCCCAGGTCGATGGCGGCGTTGCCAACGACGCTGAGCATCCAGCCACCAAGCGCGAAGTGCCTTCCACCTAGCGCATATTAGTCAATGGATCCCTAAAGAGGCTGATTTGGTCATTACTCTTTTGATACTGCTGGAACGATCCAAGACCCGCGGCCCCAAACCCCAACCGCCGTTAGGGACCTCATTGATTTGCGTAGCTGAGTTATACCAGCTCCCAATCTCATCGCCTTTCTGTTTAGGTTCAGAGAGAATCTTCCTGATCGCGCGCCCCAAGCACTACAGGGATGATAGTGGACTTGACGTGGTTTGCCGACCAACGCGTCATATGTATAATGATAGAGAGCAATCATCATGGAGAACTCCCTGCGCTTCAGCTGCGGAACGATTTTCGCATGCGATCGAATCATTCATTCATCATCACCATCATTCACCCGCATACTCCTTGGATATAAACATTCATCGTTGTCTAATAATGAGATTTGTATCAGCGAGTCAATGGCGAGGCAGTGATCACAGTAACCAAGTTCGTGATTGAATGATTTCATGCCTGTCAGCTTATATGCAGTGTTCGAGACGATGCCGGGAGAGAAACTTTTGGGAGGGCCTAGAATCGGAGTCTCCTCGTTTTCGGGGACTTTTGCGAGCCGATGTCAGTCTGGTAATGTTTCATTTGATCGTCATTTGAATAAAGTTGCGGTTCCGTTCATGGAGAGGTCTGTTTTCACTCTTGTGTTGCGTACAGCATGATGCCAGGAACGCAGAGGCGAACCACTCCCATCCTGGGAGCGGAGAGGCAGATTACAGCCAGTGCAGTTCCACAGATTTCTTCCCACTGGCTTTCATCCTCAGAACATTTCCAAGGAACCAGGTGGAGAATTGTTTTCGACATCTCATACAGGACCTGTAAGTTCGTAGTTTCCGAACCTATTCCTTTTGAATATATTCTAGGCGAGGAAATGATAAAGAGGAGGAAATATCTCGTGGGCCTACGTGCCCAGTGCCCCGATTATCGGAATATCCTCCAGAGTCATCTCTTCCAGAATTTCTTCCAGCAAATTCCCTCGCGGTGAGGACCATGAGGGTCCGAATTCCGAATGATGTCGACAATTTGATCTTGAGAAGTCATGCAAGCGAGAGCGCACAGAGCGAGTGAGACAAGACTCTTCCCCGGGAGCGGCGCTCGCGATTCTCCCTGAGAGCGTCGTGCGACGGCTGGGTTCCGATAACAGCGAAGGAAATTCATTATTCTACGATCTTGCTTGTGTCCAGAGGCTGCTGAGCCATCCTCGTTCAATCCGTCTGAGAGTCGGCTCGGCTCATCAAGCTCCGAGGAGAGTGTCGGCATCTTGTTCGTGCTTTTGATGTGCTTAGAGGCCGAAGTTCGGTGCTCTCATGAAACTCGAGCCTCTCCGTGGAACCCATGCTCTCATTCCACCGAGAGATCAATCGCGTGAGTACGCACATCTTGACGATACACCCGCATAGTCTGAACTTCATGGGCCTCTATCCGGGTATCACTTCGAGAAGGCTCCCCCGAGCTGGGGCTATCCAGAGCTAGGGATACAGCACCTGATCAATTCTATATTCATTTTTCGATGGACAGAGGAAGAGTCCGTGACTTGATCGAGCATTTCCGAGAGCTATTTCCCTCTCTGAGTTCAGATCGGCTGACCACTGGCAGACTATTCATGTCGCATCCACGGGCAGCGGGCATGGCTCTGGCAGAACACGAGCAAACTTTTAAGTGAGCCAAGTTCTGCTTGCTCGAAGGGTGGCTAGTCTTCATTCTGCTTTTGATCGTTAGGGCGTGAAGATGATTCCGCCGGTCAAGGTAGCTCTCTCAATCTAGTGTGTTGCTACGCTTCCGCGTCTCAGCGTCCATCCTCGCGCTCCACCGTTAATAAATCAAATCCTTATTGCATGCACGTGCTTAGCTATCCCTGAGAGTGGGTGCTGTTCCAGAGCCGAAAAATTCGAGACTGCCCCACTGAATCACAATCTTTGACGCTTCAGAGGTTTCTCCCGAAAATCAGAAAAACGAAAATCAGAAACCCGCTGATTGTGGGATTTCTGGAGCCGTGCTCCAATCTTCACCCCGGTTCGCCTCGCCTGAGATGTTTGGATCCAAAGTTGGGATTGGAAGTATTTTTATTTCGATTGTACAGATATTCCTCTCAATGTACAGGAGTAAACAAGTGCATCGACCCATGTCCATCTCAGCTCTAATCCTTGGTGAGCCAAATTTGTGAGTCCAGGAAAGCACATTTGTCCGCGGTGACTCCCCGCGGGCTATTTGTTAGGCATAGATTCGCTTTGGACTTATGGCGGATCTTGCCTCCTTCGCGAACCCATTTCTGCGAATTTTCACCGTTACATGTTCTCAGCTTGACGAGTTGCTGCCCAGCCAAACTGCCTAATGATACGCACCTGGAACCGAGTTATTTCTTCAATTAGGACTGAGGCTTATCCGATGAATCCCCAAAAGAGCTCCATGCGCATGATTCTAAGTTTCGAGTTACCCCCTCTCCCTCGCGATTCCGGAAAGACGATGAGAATCGTGACTCACATGTCGTGCACCATGAGGAGATGATTCTTCGCCAGTCTAAAGTCCTGATTTCCACCCAGGTAGTGACAGGGGTAGACATGAACTGTGCTCCCGTCGGATATTGCTCCAAGGGTGTCAAGACAGCGGTTATTTTGCCGGACGTACCCGTGAACATTCGAAGGCAACTTGAGCTCGGGGTAGACATTCTTCATATACCTGAAAACGTGAAGGAATATCGTAGGCTCTCATCGGACGGGCAAAGGTTGGTAAGACGGAGAGAAGATGGATAAATCAAGCCCCAATTTTCGGTGGAGTGTTTCGTAACTGTCCTTAAGTGATCGATGTTTGGAGAAATGATGAATAGTTATCTCAACGCGAATTACGCTACATACCATTCGAAGCTTTTGCATCGCAGTTTCTCACGCAATTTGAGCCTTTCCGATATATCTCCGTAAGCGACGCTCTTGGCAGCGGGGACCTGTTTCCAAAGCATCCAAGCCTCAGACATAATTAGGAAAATATCCGAGTCTGTACCTCACTCTTGGATATATTGTGGAGGCGGGACATCTGCCCTTCTCACCTGTTCGTAGTAATACTTTTTGTAGTCGTCCATCCACACCTCAGCGGCCCTTCTTGAATTCCTCGCGAAGACCTTCCCGCTCCCTCCACCGGGAAAAGTATACGGATGTTGCTTACGGAAAACATGCCCAACTCTCGAACAGGGTAGAATTTCGATACCGCTCCCGCATTGCCAAACTCGGAAGGACATCTCAAGATTTTCCGCGCCCCAAATGTCCATTTGAGTATCGTAGCTTCCGAGGCGTTCGAATTCTTTCTTGGTAATGGCAAATAGTCCTCCAGCCATCGCAGGAGTCTTTATCGGATCAGTGGCGAGTTCTGGCTTTGACGTGATAAATTCCCATTTGAAAACGAGATTCCAATCGAATCCTCCGCGAAGATCAGATGATGCCGGGAAGTATCCGAACGTGTCCATCGAGAGCACGTCGATAACCGGACAGACAACTTTGCTTGGTTCGTCGCGGATCCGGGCTAATAACGGCTCTATCCATCCCTCGTTGCATTCACAGTGACTATCTAAAAAGGTGAGCACCGGACCTTTGGCTTTCTTCGCTCCGAACACTCGGGATCTGGGGATGAGAGAACCTTGTCAGTGAGACGACCCTCGGCCTGGAGGTCTGTGTGGGGAGACTCGGACTCGGGACTCGAACAATGACGTTCGAATACAGGCATCCAGGTGGAACTGACCTCATGAGCCCTTGCCTCTCCCTGTTCGTAATCAGCTCGATTTTGTCGTATTTCATTTGAAGCTCGATTCCGTCCGTGGGATCGTCACTGGCGTCATCTACGAGGACGATCTCCTTCAGGAGATGGCTAGGCGTTCGTTGAAGAACGCTGACGACCTGTAAGAACAAAGATCTGATAATTTCCTCCGAATTCCTCCGGACTCGAACCGATTCCGTATGAATTCAAGACTTCTCGAAGAACTCAAGCGAGAATTCAGGAAACCTACCGTGCGGAGGAGCGCCGATCTGGCCTCATTGTGAAACGTTATTACTACCGAAGTCTTGGGAAGAGTGGACGTATTGTACGAGGTGTGTAGAGCTGCGCAATCTTGGTGCCGGGTGTCGGGCAGAGCGCGTCCAATTAAAGTGTCATCTGACGCCACTTGATTGAACTTGTGCGCGGCAAACGGATCCTGACCCGGAGGTCTCTTGGCAATGTAACTGAAACGGCAGAGTTGACGAGTTAATGTCAGTATCCGTCAAAATACGTTGAGCGCCTTCTAAGGACGACAGGGAACAACGGCCAGAAACTCCGAATGTCACTCGAATGCTGGTGCTTACTTTGAGACCCATTCGTCGTGGAGATCCGCACCCTGACGATGAACTGTGAACACGAGGTAGCATGAGGCCACCACGGCTGTCCAGAAGACACCGGCGACCACAACGCGACCTCGGAATCGCCGCAGTTTGACGCAGCGTGTGAACGTCTTAGCACGAAGACCAAACTTCCGGGCGATGAGGTGGTTCGTGGTTCGAGGCGGAGTCCGATCCGGAGGCGGGAAGAAATTCGATTGGAGGATCCGAGCGTCAAGATAGCTGCATCTCACTGAAGGGTCCAGCCGTCTACAAGATACGAGGGTCCATGGACCACATCGGGCGTGAGTCTTGAAAGAGGCTTACGCGATCAAACGAAATGTTTCGAAGCAGCCGCTGCTGAATCGATTGTGACGGCGATGGCGCTATTTCAGTCGGCCTGATCCCGATGAATCGAAGTAAGGCTCATGATTCACTCGGCTGGGCCCGAACGTTGTCGATCGTATTCACATCACGCACTCAGTTCACCGCATAGGAGGCTCTTTGCAACGGGCGCGATCCGTGTGGAATACCTCTCCAGAGCTGGCGTAGATCCCTGTGTGTTTGCCACCACTCGGCCAGATGCCTGACGGCGCACAGAGAGACAATTAGAATGAATTCATCCAAAGTTTGGGTTCACGCTCCGCAGTCATCGGTCTAAAGTGAGAAAAAGCGATTTTAAATTGACCGACGGCTTTATGGAAGACGGAGAAGCGTCACGCTGCCTCTATCGAATCTGTGGGAGGCTCAGTCTGGAGCTCGTGGAGGGCGAGAGGCCCTCGGCCCTCAACTGCGCGGAGTCGCGGGTTGCACCCGCCAGGGGACGCTACCGGTCCCTCCGGAGGGAGATACGAAACTCAGTGAATAGGAGCCTTGAAGTCCTACGGGATTTTTGGCGCCAATCCGCCCCGCGCATGGAGCAGCGAATTGAGCCGACTATCGAGACTGCGGGCGGTGCTGTTCCCGACGAAAATGCCTCAGCAGACGAACACAGCGAAGATGATAAATGTCGCGTTTTGATTGCATTGAAGTACGGGATACCCGGAGATTCGGAATTATCCAGAGGATCGCGGGTGGATCGTCTTGGGCCAATCGTCTTCACGTCGGCGAAATTCCTGACCCAGGCGCTTTAATTTCTTGGCTCGGAAGGAAGCGCTTCCCAACCCTCTCCCTCAGCCGGCAGATTCTTATCTTATACGACGTACGCGCGCGACGCCTAGGTCAGCTGTCGGAGACAAGGAAGTGACTTCTCAGCCGACGTCGTGGGTCATGACGCGGACGTCCCCTTTTCGCGAAGGATAGCAAATTAAAAGATAAGCCGAACTCGGCGGTTCTGACTCTCACTCCTCATGCGTCGGGCTCAGCGCACCTCCCCCGGAAAGGTACAGAATGGACGCTTAGATCCTGAAGAGCTGATTCTGTCGAGTCCGAACTGTCTCCGGGAGACGGATTGACCAGTGTCGTAGGCGCTTTCCCGCCGACGATTTCCCACGTCAAGTCTCGGTGAATCTAGGAAGCCGCTCTATGCGCCGTTTCAGCGAAACAAAAAGCACCTCCTCCTTCCAGGATGGAGCTGAGCCTTGTCTCCTCGCAACTCTGGTGGTGCTCGGATATCCCGGACCGCGGGCGTCTCCTGAGTCCGGTTGACGCAGAGGGCGTCAAAATGCTTTTGACATCAGGGATCCGGGGGAATCATCCAGGGGCATGTACCTCCTCCTCGGTTCTGGATCACTGATCCAGTGCTCAGGCCATCCCGTGAATAGTCCCAATGGACAAAACGGGGACTCTGACGCCTTCCAAACTGCACATCCGAGGACAGCCAAGAGCACTTTGCAGATTTCCCCCCACTGAATGCTCTAGTGCGGAATCCCAGCGAAATTCATTTTGCACCGCTCTAGGACCTGTGCTCAGCGTGATATCATCTCTACCAGGTGGCTTCCGATGGAGGATTCCTTTTTTAAAGAATTAGATTCAGCAGCGAGTATATTATGTGGTGCATATATTCGCTCCACAGCAGATTTTCCTCCGAAATCTTCATGTCTAGCATATCGTTCAGAATCTTCTCAGTACAGGATTGCGCACTTCGATCTGATTCAAGATTCTATGAGCATGAATGCTTCCCCGCCTTCGGTATGTGTGGGCTGGGATTCCGGAGACGGCCCATATTCTCGCATGAAGAACGCGAACCCCTAAATCATTATTTGAGGAGTCGGTCGAAGATCGGCGAGAAGAAAAACGAGGAGGCGACTCCAGAGCCTTCGCTTTTTATCTTCGGCAATACATTCCAATCTCTCCTCGTGCATTTCCAAAATTCATGGTTCAATAAAATCGGGCTCCATAATCGCGTAAGCTCTCGTGTACAGAGCGTGGATCTCTCAATCTGACCCACTCACGAGAAGCTCACAGAACTCTTCGCCCGGCAGAACGGTAAATTTTGATTGAATAATCCTCGCTACCACCCGCGACAGACGGTGCTCGTCGCGAAACATCGACCCATGTAGGCTCGACCTGTCCAGCGCTGAGTCATCCTGTCTCGAGGCGATTCCGTAAGACACGCCAACTTGCCGTTTTTTCGGACACAAGGTTCGGGGGCCTGTGAAATATGCTAATTCCTGGAACTCTACGGTTCGTGATCGACCAGTCTTTTCGGTCCAGCGACCAGGAGTCCTGGATCAGATCGGATCTGAGTCCTGCAGCTCCGTGGGCTGTCGGCACGATCCAGCTTAAATTGGCCTATCGAAGAAGAATCCCTGCACACGTCGGCGCCGATGGCTACGACACGCCAGATGTTATGAGTAACTCTGCGATTATCCTTGGACCCCTCCCCGGTGACTCTGGAAGAACTTCAATTTCGATGGAGTGATGACAGTATCGTAGTTCGGACCAGGATGATCATCTCGGATCGACCCCCCTTTATTCAATCGTCTTCATGAGGGAAGAGTGTCAAACAAAACCGCTGATACGTATGAGCACCATCTCGAATACATTCTGATAGGGTCATCACTTCGCACTTCGATGGTATTGGAACCTAGCTCTGACTTTGTCGCTGAATGGTCAAATAAGCGAGACGTCGATACTGTGAGCAACGAATGGCGAGGGAATTATTCTAGCTCGAGACGGAAGCGGAACAATCATTCGAGAGACGAATATTTCTACAACATCAAAACTAACATTATCTTTGTCGTCTCTTCCCCGGTCATCTTCCGCTCCGATGACGTACCATCGGTGCTGGCGCCATCGTTTCCGATACACGGAACGTCGATTCATATCCTATCCAGTTTATGTATATCTGAAGTATTGGTTCCGATACATACGTTGGAGAAACTGTATCGAGTATTCAGTTCTCGAATCAGCCGATGCACTTCATCATCGGTCGCGTGGATCCGATTGAGAGACCTAAGCATTAAATTTCCGAAATCGTATAAAAACTGTCCTTGCGGGTATTACATCGTTCTAAAGTCGGGTGGCTCCATCCCGTCCGGGATAGAATTATTATTGTTGTATGTACAGTCGATGGACACTAGCAACCGCCGTCATTTTTTTAAATATCACTTCCTTCAGTCGAAAAAGGTCCACGATCCCAAGTGAGTTCCTACCTCTCGACTTCTCGCCTCTCCTGTCCCCCTCCCAGAACTATTCAGTCCGATTGGGTACAAAATGGAGCGTCTACCATCACCCTGCTTCATCTCCTCTTCTATTATTCGGCTTCTGTATGACCATGTTCAGTGATCTTCCGTGTAAACAGCACTAATGGATTCTCGTCGAACCGCATGGAGTTGTCCCACCGCGTTGGTTGGGATCTAAATACAGATGATATAGTATCGTCAAGTGATAGGACTCGGGCATCTCAGAACATGTGGATGAGCTCAAATGGTCATGGATTACGAAGCTCGGACTCATTATCAGTTGATTGCCTTCCGTCCATGAATTTAGGCCTCTTATGTCTTGGAAATGATTGGGAGCCATTAGCTGAGACTATCCGATTTCTGAAGGAAGATAAGAAACTGTGGTACATGGGATACGGTTGACTGCAAGAAGCACTGAGAACTTATGTGAGGGTCCGACGCCAGCATGATTGCAGATCTCCTTGGATACCGAATTGGATCAGATAATTCGGTCGAAACTATTCACAGAGACACCTTTTTAGACAGCGTTGACCCTAGAGAAGGAGCCCGGAACCCTTTGGATGGGAGGCATGGTACATAATATGTAAGTCTCCATGAGTATTTGAATGATCAGATGACTCGGTCTTCGAAAACTATGGCACAATTTTTCGTGGTCGCGAGGTGATGGGAATGATTATATGGCTTCATCCTGAAGCATCGCTAAAACTCGGCTGATCGAGGAAATTCCTAGAGCGGAGTTAAGAAAGATCAGAGAGAGAACCGGATAACCCGAATTTCCGACGACTTCCGTACTTATTCGTGTCCAACTGTAGCCACATCAAACTCTTCAGCTAAACAGCTCGAAGGAAGATAGATTTTAAGCAGGTACCCACGTAGCGATTTCAGTAAAATGTAGTTCCTCATCCTCCTCCTCGGTTCCTTCTCTTCCTGATTTCTCGACGTGACTACGCTACGACTCATATAAACTCATGTGTGAAATTCGACTGTGTCCGACTTTTCCCTTCTGATTTCCTTCAGGAACACGGCAACACCCCAATTCGAGTACCTTCTTGACTTGGAGAGATCCCTTGGAATTATGAAACCCAGCGTCCTCAACAGGCGCCTCGATGGATGATGCGCTTGACTATAATTCTCGTTCGAGGTTTCAGCAATATTTCTCAAACAATTTCGTGGAAAATCTTCCTCGAGATTCCATTGACATCCCTGTGCCAACAATACATTACGTCAGATAGTATACCTAATAATGATATGCGAGAAATCGGTATTATTTGAGTGGTCACACTATTGTCAATTTAACGCCTACCCCGTCCGCTACGATCAGTGGGACGGTATTTACAGTATGCACAGAAATTCGAGTCGTCATGAATCAATGACTTGATTAACACGTTCTCGCGCTCTGAATCGACTGAGATTCTCCGCTAGCGGTAAGTTAGCGACTCGCCCCGCGGCTAAACCTTTTCTCGGTATGTCTGGATCTGTGCGAGTCGCGTCTGCCCATTATGACGAAGTACGGTGGACAGGAGAAGTATCTTCAGACGACATCGATGAGTGGCGTTAGTCGCGCTCGTTCGACTTGAAGACACACTTTTACTGCTAATGAATGGCGGAGGCGGCGAACACCAAGTCCAGCAACGATATTGACATTCATTGTGAAGTTGAGATATTCGTGGGAACGAGATCGATGACCTCGCTCTTGCCTCTGGATGATCCGCCCGGAGACTTCTTGGACGAACGATCCGGCAAGTCTCAGTCAGAGAAATCCGGCGTGAGCGGAGCTCAAGCGGACTCTCATGATCTTCTCATGACAGGCGCGAGGGAGGTATCTATTCTCGTCGTGAAGATCCTTGGTAATCAGCGATCACAGAGTGGCAGAAAATCGTTATCGTTGCTGGCCGCGCGTTTCCTGGCAAGACCTTGTGTCGGCCCGGATTTTTTCGAGTTCTTTCACAGCTTGGTGCTCGCCACCGCCGCCGACTGGGTGGTATGTGATGGTTCATATGCTCAAAGGTTCGAGTCGCTCCGATTGCTGTTGTTGACGTGCAACGGCACTCCAAGTGTCATTCCGCCGATAGGATTCGAGTAGTCGATCTCGTCGTCGACCAGATACAGGAATAAGATCCAATAACACAACATGAAGAGGAAGAATGTTGAGGGGAATATAATCCGCGCCCATGCATCGACCTCCCCGGAGATTTCGTGGGGGGTAAGTGCATCCTCACGCTCGGGTTGAGTCGCGATTCGAATGTACCTGGAAAATTCGAGAGAGGTTTTTCTTTCTCCGCACTTAGAGGAATCGAGCAGCGAGTATTCACGAGAGCGCGAGCAGACGAGGGGGCGCGGTCGTGGATGAGATGGGAAAGAACTAGAAGGATATGCTCCCGGGTGAATGCAGTCGAATAAAAAGGCTCCGGGGGGGGGGGAGGGAACAAGCCGAAACAAAACGAAGAGACGATCTCCATCCCATCGCGCGGACCGCATGCGAATCATTCGGGACGTAGTAAACGATGGAACATGAGGTCGGGAGTAACGAGAGGCCGGGATACTCACTTGTGACGGCGCCTCCTCCGACAATAGGCTCTGAAATCAGCCAAGAAACCAACGTCCTCACAGTCAGCTTCCTCTTCGCGTTCTGCCTCTTTTTCGAGACGGAGCCGGATCAGATCGAGCCTCACAGAGTTGGGGTCTCTTCCATTCTCGCGGAACTCCTGAAATGGCAACAGTCGTTACCAAACGCATCGATTTTGAATCTGTCACCACACTCTCGACGACCCCTGCGACCGTCGTCG